AATTTGTTAGCTAAATTGTAGGCATAATTTAGCCATCATTTAGGATTAACTGCGTGTGAAGAGGAGCATAGTTTATTTCCGAGAGCTGGACGTTAACAAACACATTTATCACAGCTCACAAGAACATCTCAATTTTTGAGAGTTAAACGGCCTATGCGGTTCGTAATTCAAAATCGCCTCGTACCGATAATGTCACGAACGCAAATATTGCGACAAAAGTGCTCCAAGCAAAACTGTATACGACTGCCGAAAATAAATGCTGTACGTAAAGCAGGCAATGGGAGCCTGAATGGTTAATAGCTCGCATGAGCAGCGACGCGTTAAAGCACGGCGCCGAACGAATAGAAATTCGTTCGGCGCCGTGTTACGGTGGGCGAGCACTATGAATAATACTACTTTTTCAATAGAGCTATTTGGTGTAGATCCCTAAAAACTTATATTTACGTAATCGAAACTTTGTGGTTCCGGCGTTGCATCTATATCCAGATCAGCAGGTCGCGTGTTATGCTTTCCGTGGGAAAATTGAAAATTCGCGCAAAGGAAACTTTAAGATCTTCCGGTAATTAACGTAGGTATATAGCATCGCTTTCGCATTTGCACGCTTGACGCTCGAATCAACGCTGCTACGACACGAACTTTGAATTTTTAATCGCGCGACTGACCGTCGCCGCGCGCTACGTCCAACTACTTGGCGTTTACGCTTTGTGGTGATTAAAATTTCACTTTTATTCTTAAAAAAGAAAATGAAAGAAAAAACAAAGAAAAGAAAGTAGTTATGATCAAAACGAATCACCTTTTGTTCAAAATTAAAATTCCTGTGGGAAAGGCGGTAGCTGTTATTAAGATTAGGACGTTTAATATTTTAATTAGAAAAAGAATTTTATTTTTTTACACAAACAGTGAGTTCTTCCCACATACAATAGTGAAAAAATAACGGTAATTTACTATTTCACAATATTTTTTGCGATGAAAGTTTGAGGATGTTAACTCAGCTATTTTCAACGGAATTTCTTACAACCCAAAAGAATTTATCAAGTATTTTCCCACGTAACAAGAACAATTCTTGGCGACATCCTTACAATGCTATAAATTTGCGGAATAACTCTGTTATTAAGTCATTCATTTTTCTGTTCTTCAATAGTGTAATTGAAAACCATTTCATCAATTAATTACAACTTTGCTGAAATAGTTATCATTAATCCAAACTGCTTGTGCTCGCAAATATAAACTTTACCAATCAATAGTTTCGACGAAGTAAAATACTTGAAATATGTTCTACGTTATTTTTGTAGTGTTGATCGAAAGTAACGTGAAACATGGATGTAGATAATCTCTGCGAAAGTAAACTTTACGATTACTTTTATGACATATATGTAATTTATGTGCTTTGTCATATTGGAGAGCTACAACGCAAATTACCGCAGCAAAATGAGAAATAAATTAGGAATATTCGCCGCCTGCTCGCACCAATTATCGAATAAATCACTATGGTTGCCAATGGTGAATTGCGTTACAGAAATTTCCCTGCGCACAGAAAATTAAGGAAAAAATTCAAAGACGGCAGGTATTAACAGTTTTCTTAACGACGAGCAGCTTCGAAGAGAGTTAAAAATGTATGCCGCTCTTACATCCGTATTTTCTCTAATTAGACAATTAGAAAATTCACAGAAAAAGAATACTTAAGAGTGTCATCACCGATCTTCGAAGATCGGGCGATTCGGAGGCGTCGGTGCGGCGGCGGCGCTCCGTCAGCGAAAGTTAAACCGCTGTAAGAAAGTGCTCTTGACAAAACAACTCATTCTGTTGCACGAGACTACAAAGGAAATTTAAGTAAGGAAGAAGAAGAAGCGGCACAGCGACCTCGCGGCAGCAAAAGACAGACGGTAAAAATTGACACAAGTTAGCCTTGAGAGGAGCTCGGTGCTGTTGTACAGCGAAGTAAACATATAAGATATGTGACGAAAAAAAAAAGAAAAATGCCTGGAGGAAATCTCGCAGGGCGGCGAACTCGCGTTGTCTCGGGATGTATATATATATACGCACAAACAGCGAAGCTGCTCACACACTGACCCCCATTTTGCGCCTCTAGCGAAGTAGATAGCTTAGCACCGTCTCGGGAATGTGGCTGTACGCGTGTGCACGGCGAATTTTCTTATCCGAGCGAGCTTCTGCTGGTCGTATGTGTGTATACGAGTATACGGTCGCGTTGTCTCTCGCCGACTGCAGCACGTCTCTTACCTCGCTGCGGCTGTACAAAGACTCGACGACCAGATAATTTGCAGGCGGAGCGCTCCGGCCGCTGATTTGTGCTTTTTCTACCTGTTTTTTATTTAGAGCCTAATTGCGCACTCGCTTGATATGTTAACAGCTACACGCTAGCTTAATCTTTTCAATGGCAATCGTATCTCGTGTTCCTCGGATTCTGTTAATGCTTCCGCCTCAACTTATTACACCTATTGTGTTTGATATTTTTTCACACTTTCATTCTGTGGCTTCCTCCGCTTTTTTTCCGTTCTCAATTCATTTCTCATCACAAGATTCATTTTTGCGCAGGTTAGATTATTTATAACGTTTTTTTAAGCGACCTATATACTCGTGAACTATTTTTGTAACTATTGCACTTGCAATAACGGCCTTATACTATATTCTTTACGTTACTACCGCAACTGTATTCATTTTACGTACCTTACTACATTTTTTCAAAGTTAACAATCAATGCATACTTTTTGTGTCTAATAAATCTTATATTTTCAAAGCAATTAATCATTTAAAAAGTGAAGCTTTAATCAATTTCCATAAATTCATTTCTGATTTTATGAACTATTTTTTATACTACGTTAATTGTAAGATACTTTGATTTAAACAAAATTTATTAATAGATAAAGAGAAAAAAAATACGATTAGAGCGTTCAAAAAGAACAGCTATTTGAATTTATTTAAAAAATTTTGAAAACAAAAGAACAATAAGTAAAGAAGTATAAGTAATACTGAATACACGTGTTGGTAGTCTACTGGATTAGTCTAGGTAATTTTGCATGAAAATAGAAGGATTAAATAAAATCGATGAATGTTAGGTTCAAACGAACAACAAAATAAACTAAACCTTAAATATCAGTTTTTTACTACTACGCAATCCATTCTAACATCAGTGCAACTTTATTTATTTTGTAGATGCAGAAAAATTCTGCATGAAACTTTTCAACTACTTTAATGTTTACTTATTAATCAATCTTATTAGTAAAAAAACTAATTAAAAAGACAAAAATTTACAAAAATTATAAACTTTGATTAAGCGTTGCTAATACAAAGCTAAGCTTGACAGAATCGAGTTCGAGCATATAATGAAACTGCGGGCAAAATAGCGCCTTACAATTTCAAAACTCCGCAATATCTATAATAATACACAGATGAGCAAATTTGGCAAAAAGTATTTCTTGTTTAAAATTTTCCTACGTGCTTTTCATTTTTGACTTTCGTCGCATTTTAATTCTGTTATATTCGATGACATTCTAACGAAATTTAGAAAATATTGAGTGATCGCTAGAGGCGAGTCACAATTAAATGAGTCTCACAAATAATTTTCCCGTGTAATCTTCATTTTGTATTTCACATTTTGATAGTTGTTAAACGTATTGAGGTATGATTACAGTAATATAATTAACACATTTGAAGTATTAATTAAGTAGGTAAAACTGAAAAATTATTTAATGACTGATTATTTAAGCAAAGCTAAACGTTCGCACGTATAATTAATACTTTTTTACTGTCTAAAGTAAATGTTTTATTTGTTTGAGCAATCATTTTATTAAAAAAAAAATAAAATAATTTCGTTACTTCCTACGAATAAAAATTCAATTTGATTATACGTTTTTGACATGCTAATAAATTTCGAAATGAATCTAACGCAAATATTGATTACATAATTAGTTTACACTGCAGGAAACGATTAAACGATATCTAGTAAACTGAATCACATAAACATGAATGTGGCTTAATTGGTTACCGCAGTACGTTATTGAATAAATCATTACAATTAATGTAAAAAAGTATTAGAGTCTTTACATGATACCGTAAATTTAGACGCAGCTCGAAACTCCCACGATAACAAATTATGATTAAGCATCCACGTAATATAAAATAAAACGATATTTTACAAAAATTATATGGTTTATTGATCAATTTAAGATTAATGGTTATGGTAAGAAAATAATAATGAAGACTTTACATAGATTCTGAGAATCAATTCCGTGCTGGAGTACCTATAGAATGATGGAGTACTCAAGCTTACATGATAAATTATATTTGATTCTATCCTTTAGCGAATAATACTTTCCATAAATAGTTATTAGAAATTATTTTATTAACTTTGATAATTATTGATATTATTATCAGATAAGTAGTATAAAATTAGCATTCAAAATTATTTACATGTTGTCATCAAAACATCCTACGTATTATTTACATATATACTTTATAATAATACATGTTTCTCATAATACCATTCATATTACACTGTTTGCTAATATTATCTCAACTGTAGAACTATTTCTGATGAAAAAATTAATTATTTTTATGGAAAATATGACAATTGAAAAAAATATTGTGCGCTTAAGTAAGAAATTGATAGAAATACGCAAATGAGCAAGAACTAAAGTAAATGCAATATTTATATAGATGTGAGACAAGTGAATGCCGTTAGAAGGTAATGAATCTGAAGTGAAGAAACAGTGCTAATAAAATATCAATCACAGAAAAGTCAGAAAACATCTTGTTCAACATTTTCCAGTCGATTAATCTAATCGTTGAAAATAGTTGTGCACAGCTTCGCCTCTATAACTATGTCTATTTGTTGAAGAAAAATTGGTTTGAAGCTCTACACGACTTCCCGCGAGAGCTAGGCGTATAGGGCGCGAGGAAGAGAAATTCTGGTATACATTCCATAAAAGCGAAAGAATGAGAGAGAAAGAGAGACTGAAAAAAGCTGTAAGCTCTGGACTCACCATGATGAGGAATAGATACGGCTCTCACACCAATCCTCGGAGGTGAAATATACCCTGACGTCGCTCCTCTTCACTGTGTCTGTGGATGTGTGTCTATCTGTCTCTTTTTCTTGACCTTCACTGTAGCACTTCGCACCACCGACCCATCTCTCTCAAAGCACCCCGATCACTTGCCTACCAGATGCGGGTCGACGAGTTTACGCGCAACAACAAATTAAAGAAAAAAGCTAATAAAAATTAAAAAAATAAAATATAAATTTGTCGAGTGGACGTCTTCTCGCAAATTAGTTAATAGAAATATTTCGTGACGCAGACTCTCGGGACAGCAAAAAATAGATACGTGTAAGTGTGTTACTCGTATACACGAGTCGTAAGATCCGGTGTCTGACTGTTTGAGTCGATTCTAGTGGCGAACGAGGCTCTATATAGGGCCCCCCTCCAACAAGACCCTTTCTCTCTCTCTCTCTCTCTCTCTCTTTTCCGCGGTGAGGACGTACTCCACTGTCCACAGCTGCGAGCGCGCACGAGAGAAAGCCTCTCCTTCGCCGACTTTTCTCCCTCTTTCTCGCACTACGACGAAATACCTGCTGTAGTAACATCGCTAGTCCTCACGCGCGTATACGCGGACGACTGCTCGATTTTTCCCGGACCGTTGCTCACCACCCACAAGCTGCTTTGATCTTATTTCCCCGAGCGTGAACACATTGATTGGATTCTATCAAGTTCTCCGTCTTTATCGAATCTCATTACTTTTTCATTACACACCGTTTCATTTTTTGTTTCATTTCCCTACTTATTCAGCGCGTGATCCAACGAATTGAAACATTCCATGCAATTCGATGTCATAATTGGGCATTTTGAAGCGATGATTTATTTGCCGACAGTAAAATAATTGTTGCAATTTTCTCTCTCTCTCTCTCTCTCTCTCTCTCTCTCTCTCTCTCTCTCTCTCTCTCTCTCTTTCTCTCTCTCTCTCTCTCTCTCTCTCTCTTTACGTGCATCGTTTCCAAACTCGATTTTCTTCATATGAAATCAGATAGCTGCTTCTTTATTGTGCTATCGAGTATTGAGAGAACTATTGCTAATTAGTTAAAAAAGAGATTACAAAATTGAAGCGAATCGTCATAAAATTCGTAATGTATAATGGTGAGATTGCGCTGATAATTTAGAGATTGATTCTTCATTGTATCGTAAAGTTTGTTAGTATACAAACATTTTCTATTTATGCAGAAATGATAATGCAACATATAACTTGATAAAACTCAGAATAAAAACATACCTAATGGATGATTGTCCATATACGATAATTTTGTAATATTATTTTTGTTGGCTATTACTAACAATAAAATTGTCTATAAAATATTTTTCTTCGACATGTTACGTGATCACCGCTGCTTGCATAAAAGGATCGAAACTCATTCCATTTTAAATCATCATTATCGATGCTACAAGCGTACGTGAGATCTTATAACTTTCTAAGACAATGCTGATGTGCATGCGTACGCTTCATCTATGGCAAAACGCGTTAGCACCTTTTTGGTAATTACATCACAAACGTTCATCGATTAAAGTGTACTTTATGCCGACTGCAAGACTTGATCTTTCTTGATAAGTTTACTTACGTAAGTATCGAAAAAGTAAATGCGGAAGATTTTTACCAAATATTTTAACTATTTCCTAAAAACTATAATATTATGTACACTAATATATGAGTTTTAATGTCGATATTCCAAGTATTTTGTTATTCTTTTACGTAAACATTCGCAAATGTCAGTTCAGTTTAAAATTTCACTTTTCAACTCTCTTCTTAAATGACACAGCAGTGGTACTTTTAGTCGTTAACACAACACAAGAACCTGCTAATGTATCTACAAATAGGTGAATGGAAAGCGAATTGCGATGATAATCAAATTAAGAAAAAATGTTGCCGTTGATACCGATGTACAAATTTTTTACAAAAAAGTAAAAATATAAAATTTAAATAAAAATTCCGTTATATTAAGATGGAAAATTTGTATTATATGAACGCGAAAACATACACAAGCTACTCTAAAAAAATGCACATCGTCAACGCAGTACATCAAGCAAAGTTGCTTCCGGTCTGGTAATCGCAAAGTGGCCAACAGTAGCGCCTAGATCCTGGTATAAAGCACTTTCAGAAAGAGAGAGAGAGAGAGAGAGAGAGAGAGAAAGAATATGCTTATCATAGAGAAAGCGTTCAATATTGTAATACTTAATTTTTTTCAAAATATCGTAGTACATAAACTTATCTAAATAAAAGTTGGTCAATTGTACTCACAGTATAATCTTAATTAATTGATTAATCGTAATACAAACTGATAATTGTGAAATGCTTTACGAGCAAAAAGGTTGCAGAAAGTGTAACACTATAATTTTTATAATCTGTAATCAGATTGAATACATAAATTCACAAACGAGCTACAGTACTAAAGTATCGCGCAAGTGAAAACAGTCAAGTTCGGTGAGACGATAACGTTGCACAAATGCAAACATTGTATAAATTGCTTTGCATCAGTGAAATAATCACATTTAAAAATGAATTTTATATCATTTTCACTGGAGCAAATAAACATAAACGTTCGGCGTTTTGTAGGTACATATCCGCCGAGCACCAGCAAAACAGACGTCTCAAGAGAAGAGTGCGCAATCAAAGTTTATCCGCGAACAAAGCGCAAATAAAATCACTTGGTCGAGCGCGCAGACTAGCGTTGGGTAATCGAGCACCTCGTCAATTATTGTCCGAGCGTTTGCGCTCGAGGAGACAGCCAAAGCCGGCAAGATAACAAAATTGGCCAGGTGCCCGCGTCGATCGAGGCAACCACTACCCACACACGTCTTGCGACTTGAATTACAGAATAGAAGAAAAGCTCGATAGTGGTGTTTCCTTTCAGGCGCGAGTATAGGGTACAGTGCGTTTATTTTATGCCAGAGTGCGTTCGAATGCATCTCACGCCTCATCTACGACACGCCCGCCTCTCTTTCGCATCTCGCTACGAATTTCAATGCCAATACACTCCACAAGTGAACAAGCTTCTCGTACTAGCAAGGTTACTCATCCATTCACAGTAAAATTGACGAACGAATATACGCGATCGACTCGCGAGACCATTGTTCGTTTTCAGTTTCACTTTCCTGAGCGCATGACGCGATATATCGCAAACAGACGTACGTACGAATAAAATCGCAGTTAGAAAGTAAAGCGCGCGCGCGGACTAACGGCTAAAAAATTTTAGCTTTGGCAGGGGGCGCGAGCGCGAGAGAGAGAGAGAGAGAGAACTGGAGCATTCTCGTTTACGTGCATTAAAGTTGGCCTTTCGAGCATTGTCCTCTCAGAATGTTTCACAGCGTTGCTGACGCCGACGCGTATAATGTAAGCCCGATCGCGCGCGCGTCTCCTCAAGGACGCGACTCAGCTGAGAAACCGCGCGCGCATACTAAATTAACTGGCAAATCAAGTGTGCACAATATATATGCCCGCTCTTGAGCGCGAGTTAACTCGCCGATGACGGCGCCTTTTTAGAGCGCCGCTTTGCAAACTTTCACTTAACGCGCGCGTCTACGCGTTAATAAAATAACGACTAATACGGCTGGCATACCTCGACGGCAATAGGTTACACCGCGCGCGTACTTGCTCTACGTATGCTTATACTTGGAAAGACTTTTCCCAGCGTGAAAACGTGCGTCGTTTATGGCCTACGCACCTGAATCCGTTCGCGGTAGAGTTCCGATAAGCAGCCATCTCTTCCATTGATGAAAGTCTTTTACCCTTTCTCTCTACCGGTATTTTAGACCAGGCTTTGGAGATAATGTTCTGATAAGACGTTCAAATCACATCAGTTTTACCCATATAAAATAAGACTAGTATGCTTGGGCATTTATGGCTTGTGTCGCGTTTTCTACACCTGGATAAACTTATCCTATTAGCAAAAATTATTAACATTTCACAACCTATAATTATATTGCGCGTGTTCTACTTACATTACTAATGAAGTTTGCACTACTTCAGAATCATAGCCTAACTTTCGTGAGCATGTTCCTAATAATACTAGAAATATCCATTACATTAATCCATCTATCTAAATCCAGTATGTGATTATGGCAACTATAATGAATTAGAATACATACAAATATTGATACTATTGGCTTTCAATTATTATTGACTCAGTTCACTTCGTTGTTTTCTGCCACTAATGTAGTTGATAATAAATACTACGTTTATTAGCATGTCGTATCATCTATATCATTTAAGCTATAACAAATTGGCGATGAGATGAAAGTCGTGGATTCCCACTTACAAATGGTTTGACCAAAAGAAATGTATAAACATTAATAAACGACGTGAGATATTTTTTAAATACCGAGTGATGCCTTTGAAGAACGAGAAGTCACTTGCTGAATTATATTTGAATCGTCAATTGAGAATTCAGCTAGTGTAAACTTGGTACAATCATTAAGATATTTAGACGACTATGTTATGAGGTAAAGGTCGATGATAGTTACATGTTCAAACGTCACATTAATCAATTAATCAAGAATGATATTAAAAATGATTAACCATCACTGGAAGTAAATCAAGCGCGTAAAAAACTAGAGTAACTTAAAGATTTTGTTAAAAATTAATTAAATTTTTTATCAATGTCACAGTTGTATTATTGTCCACTTAATAAGAAAAACAATCAATTATTTTCTATATTAATATCTTAAGTGTGGGAAGATTATAGTGAATTAAAACATACACAAACATTCACATTCAATTATTACTAAGTTTACTTAGTTATTTTTCTGCTACTTATTGTTATTTTTAATGAATACTACTTCTATTATCATGTTGTATCACTTACATTATTCAAGCTACCTCAGCAACAATTAATTTTCAAATGCACCGGCAGATTACCAACATCGAAAGATTGTAATGTTCTGTCGGGTAAATTGTATGTTTAATAAAGTTGTGGTAATAAAAAATTTTCAGACTTTAGCCAGAGTGCCGAAAATATATAAAAAACCTTATTTGAATGTTTATTATTTGGATTTCTGCCAGCGTTCGAATGGTCTTCGCACTGATGGCCGAT